GTTATACAAATAATTGCTAAACAGAAGCTAAGAGTCCTTCCTCCCTAATGAGCTTCTGTCCAATCTTAGTGCTATCAGAAAATCCCCCTAACTTTGGACGATTATCCGAAAAAACTTTCAAAATATCAGAATATCCCCCTTAAGTATCAAGATTATTAACTCCACCAACTTTTAGATTTTATCAGAAAACCCCCTTTAATTATATAATTTTATCAGAAAATCCTCCTTAATTAGGAGGATTTTTTGATAAAACCTTAAAGTTAAAAGGGGGGTTTCCAGAGAATCATTCAAAGTTGGGGATATTTAGCCTAAAATTGCATGTAAATCTCATAGTAACACGTCTACTGTCAATTTTATATCACTACAATCGGTTTAAAATAACTACTATTATTAGTAAAAATAATAATAAAAATTAAAACAAAAACAAACAAACAAACAAACGGTTAAAGCATCAGTGCAAACAAGCTACCGAATCAATGTGATCATTGCATTAATCACTCCAGTCATCAACTTTAGGTTTGATATTGAAACATGTGTCCCTCTCTAATGATTGTCCATGGAGGTTCTATGGATTTTTCTCTCCCTCTTCAAAACATTATGGATCATGTTCATAATTATGGAAGCCAAAAATATCTGTATTGGAGGATTTATTCATACCGTATCCGTTAGGATACAGTTATGACCATTAATATCTATATCGTATAGGATATGGTTACGAATATGGATATGTAAATAAAATATCTGGATCCGTATTCAAAATATCCGAATATATATTAGTCATACAATTATAATTGTTTGACTAATGGATTAAAATTGATTTTGATAATCAAAAGATCTAATCTTCACTTTTGAGATATAGCAAACATACTAATGAACTCTCTTATATCATATGAGCCATATTCTTTTCATTTGTACATGGTCTTCTCTCATATCTGTTTTGTTTCCTCATGTATATTTGTAACCGTATCCGAATTTGGTGGCTATGAATATGAACTTTTTTCTTTACTCAGATAGATAAAATTTTCTTATCGAGACATATCTAGCGATATATCCGTGTCCATAATTAGTGAACAGATACAAATATTGTAAGTACCACATATAAATGGTATCTAAACAGTTTACACCCCTGTTCACGTACGGTACTTCAAGCGTTAAAAAGAAAAAGAAAGTTAAATCACTATAAAAAATATGATCCTAAATTAAGAATCCTATCAAAGTTAAAAATTAGTAAAGGAACGCTATGAATAATGAATGAATTAAATTAAAATAGCAACGCTAGCTATGAATGATGAATGAAAGCACACGACACATAAAACTACAGTGTAAAGCGCTTTGTTTTTTTCCTCCCCCTACGTAAAAAAGGACTCCTTCACCGTTAGAATAAGGTTTCCTTTATCATGCCAAAAAGATTCAGTTCATGGTTCATGCATTGAGAGACCCACTACTCAATCCTGTCTTCCACTATACAAACAAATCAAGACTAGAAAATAATAAAGGGAAAGAAATAATTAAGAATTCTCATTGAGTTTATGAAATTTAGAACATGGATACATAACATGGCCTACGTAACTAGCCTAGACGCCTAACTTTGTCCTCTTACCATAAAGAAATGACCCATTATTGATTAGCATTGACCTAATGAAGCTAACTCACTATCACAAAATGGGCTATTATGCTATGCCATAAATTTCATATATATGATGGTTTTGCTAGCTAGGACTAACATGAATCACAATATGATTTGTTTCCAGAGGTGATTTTATGAGTTCCTTGCACCTATTACTTTTCTCTTTTATAGTGTGAAAATAATTTGAGGGGAGTGGCCTAGTCGTTATCACTACTCGATCGTCTTAGTATCATGTCTTAAAAGTACAGTGAAATGTAATTTTTATAAGTTAATTTTTAAATGGTTTTAACTCTTCATGAAAGATGTATTCAATTCATTGCGCATGTGTAGCTTTTAATCATTTTTTCTATCATAATCAACATGATTATACTCCATCTTTTTATACGACCTATCGTATAGCGATGTTTTAGGACAAAACCTATCATGCAACCTTTTTATTAGTGAGTCCTACGATGATTCTTGGATTTCTACCACTATCAATATGTCAATTCCACAAGAAAAGAACTACATATATTCTACTAAAACATTAATGCATGTGTGAGGAATTATTTCAAAATTAATTGTGGCGGTCTCACAGTACTAGCTAGGATATACAAAACCTTAGCTTAGTCACAATCAAATGGTCATTCAAGTAGCAACTGAGAATTAAGGGCCTTTAATTTGTTATACAAATGAGCTTGAGGGCCATAAAACTCCATTCACCACAAAAGAAAGGGACAAGAGAGTGATGGATATTAGAGCAAACTTTATACTATTAAAGACCAACATTTGTGTAGTTATTTTAATTGGCGTGGGGATATAATTCCATGTATATCCATGAAGGTTGAGGAGCTTCATGTCATCACATGCATCCATGTGGAGAGGATTGGTAATCCAAAGCCCAATGGTTAATTTGCATAAGATAGTTGAGCTTGCTAATTATTTTGTGCCATAGGTCAAGTCTTCGTAGGAGAATCTATGATTTGTTGCCTCACTGCTTGAATTACACTCATAATTTTGTTGTTAAAGGTGCTATTAAAAAAAAAGGAAAGGCGTTGCGTTTCTGTAGATCAACATTTTTAATACCAAACCACTTTAAACGTTCATTATAAAAGGATAAGAGTGACCAAGCCTGACATTGTTGTTAAATGAGCTCTTATTAGTAAATTGTGGTAGCTATAAAGTGTAAACCCACATAAATTCAATAAAAAATATTGTGATATATCATTTTCGAATCGATCATTTTTTATATATCTCCACTGTAGGTTCCATCGTTTAGAATCGGAAAAAAAAGTTACAATAGGTTTTTCAAATCAGAAATGCGTTTTTTTATTTTTTTTCTTCTTCTTTATTTAAGTTGCGTTTTTCCAATTCCCAATTACCTTGATGGGTATCAAGTAAGAATATTTGTAATTGGATTTTTTTTTTCCTTTTTTTTTTGGTCTTTTTTGGTGGATCCCTCTTTAATGGTCATCTTTGCATTTTTTTTCCCTCTTGTAATATGGGGAAGGGGTGGACTCTAGACCTAGGGGCACTGCTAATTGCTCGATTGAACTGTATTAGTTCTTTATTGATTATTTTGCGAAGCCTCAAAATGTCTTCAAAATTGTACTGATATATAGTAATGAATGATTACCATAATTGTGTTTCAAAATTCAAATCTACGCATGATAGGAGATTTTTTCCAACCTAATTTTTCTCCATTTTGATAAACCATCAGTATTATAGATATTATAATAAGAAAAACTAATACGTTTAACCAAGAGGGATTTAGCAATATAGTGACCCACACTAGAGAGAGAGAGAGAGAGAGAGAGAGAGAGAGTGTTTTTCTCTCTGCAAGCCAGTGACATTTTTTAAGGTATCCAATGCACTTTAGCAAAGCAATGACATCACACACACGTGCATAGATTATGCGATGGAGATAGGATCAATCATCAATGGTAATGCTAATAAAAGAATCATATATATCTCTACGGACAGAATAATGCCAACATCACATCGAGCTTTGTTCCTAAGTCGTGTCTCTATGCTCCGAAATTGTGCTGACAAATGACAATGGCGGGTGAATTCAATTTGGAGCCTTGGATTCTAATGGGCTTCCCGCCAAGAAATTCCTTTTATTAAGGATTAATGGCTATAATGATAATGGTAACAGTTAATTCAATTTGTTGGACTGAATCCGCTCTATTGCGGATGTTGGATCCAGGCTGATCCGAACCAGATCAAGATCAAGGTTTGGTTCTGTTGAAACAGGGTATAATAGTAATGAGTCACCTGCCCAGAGGAGTTTTCTTGGTGGGCCTCGGGCTGATAGCGAACATGCAGCAGTCCAATGTGAGGAGTTGCGGCCTACCTGCACAGGTAACAGCCCGATATCGACGGCACCAGAGACAAATCTCCGGTGGCCATCCGGTACTTAGGTCAGGACATTCCTCGTACGGAACAAAAGAAGTTGATGAGAGAGAGAGAGAGAGAGAGAGAGAGAGAGTGTTTTTCTCTCTGCAAGCCAGTGACATTTTTTAAGGTATCCAATGCACTTTAGCAAAGCAATGACATCACACACACGTGCATAGATTATGCGATGGAGATAGGATCAATCATCAATGGTAATGCTAATAAAAGAATCATATATATCTCTACGGACAGAATAATGCCAACATCACATCGAGCTTTGTTCCTAAGTCGTGTCTCTATGCTCCGAAATTGTGCTGACAAATGACAATGGCGGGTGAATTCAATTTGGAGCCTTGGATTCTAATGGGCTTCCCGCCAAGAAATTCCTTTTATTAAGGATTAATGGCTATAATGATAATGGTAACAGTTAATTCAATTTGTTGGACTGAATCCGCTCTATTGCGGATGTTGGATCCAGGCTGATCCGAACCAGATCAAGATCAAGGTTTGGTTCTGTTGAAACAGGGTATAATAGTAATGAGTCACCTGCCCAGAGGAGTTTTCTTGGTGGGCCTCGGGCTGATAGCGAACATGCAGCAGTCCAATGTGAGGAGTTGCGGCCTACCTGCACAGGTAACAGCCCGATATCGACGGCACCAGAGACAAATCTCCGGTGGCCATCCGGTACTTAGGTCAGGACATTCCTCGTACGGAACAAAAGAAGTTGATATCAGGGGTGAATCTTTATATAGAGCGCTGCAAGTACTCGTTAAGATTTAACTGAGGCGAACGCATGTCGCCAGCCATCCATCGCCATCCTACCAAAGAGCTCATTACTACCGTCTGGCTATGTCTGATGCAAGGGATGAAAGATGTAATTCGTGCCCTGAAGGCATAAAATGATGTACGCACGAGTACAAAACAAACTTGTTCGAGTCTCGGATGGTCCAGCCAGTCAATAAAAAAATTTAATCCATATCCCCATAAATGATCCTCCTTGATTAACAATATAAGCAAAGTTGGTTTGCATAAATGCTAGTTCATTTGTATTGTGAGTACTTAAAAGTATTGCATAGCCCTTCACATTATACATACAGCTGGTGATAACAAGACCACTCCTCCCGAGTCTCAAACTAATCCCCCGGTACAAGATAGAGAAGTGTGTAACATCCTTACTCTTCAGCTTTTATGAGAATTACTGACTCATAAAAAGGACCTCACACTTTCCCCTCTTGTAATGTGAGTAGTTTGAAAAGTGCAATCTAACAAGCATGCTCGTATACATAATTTCTCGAACATGACTAGGGAAGTGTAGCCTCTAGATTATCGAATTACCGATGCATGCAGTTTCCTATGATGCGGAAGTTCTTGACACAATCATTCACAAATGACATGAGACACAGGTCAACAAATATTGCCATCCATATCACAACAAGGCAGTATGTCAATGCATAGCTCTAACTCATGTTTGAGTTTATGAACAGCGCATAGCCATAAATGCCTACGTAACACTTCTGCAAGTTTGCTTGTCCACCAGTAGAAGAGAAATGTTGAGCTCAACTTTTACCCAAGCAAACACTTCTTACACGATGAGAATGCTTGAAGAAGCATCGGCACGGGATATGAAGTACATAACAATATTACAATAACTTGTACCTTCCCTTGACTGGAATTTTTTGGCAGTTAAAGAGTTACAGAAGACCTCGGAATGTATGAATATTAAAGTGGCTCGGATTGATGATATGCTGCTTTGATTTGTTACCTGTTCTGCATCAAACAAGCAAAGGGTTAGCAAAGAAAATATTTAATTTGGAATCACTGCATCTAATTCTATTAAGTATGCCTGTTTCAGTTGCTTGACATCAAAACATCATCATATCATATAACACCTGTGGAGAAAAAACTAATTCCATATAAGGTACGAAAATTTCCAGGGAGTTCCTGTTTATAATAAACCTAGAAGTTGAAGTAGCACTCGAGTCAAGCAATATGCGTAAAAGGATGTCATAAAAAGTTCATACAGGAGCAAAGTTCATGTATGCTATTGTCATTTCCTTGGCTGATCAATGAAATCATAAAAGCATCTATATTTCAGCATCCTTGAGTCATTCCCTTCACAAACTGAAAAATGCAGAGCTGTGTGTAATACAAGAATATCTGGATCTTACCACAAGCCCCCAAACTTGTGGTTTATTTGGTTGAACTGTGGTTCAAACTTGGAATATGATGGTATAACGTCTGTAGGTTCACCACATCAGCTCCAATAAGAAAAGGTATATTTCACAATGCCACCATGAATTTTTTTGGGTGGGTTTGAACAAAACTACCATAAACCTTTTTATTAAGGAAAAAACATAAAACCTCTATACTTCAGGATCTGTCTATAACCATCTATGCACATGGGTACTTCTATGATGATGCTGTACCTGTAGCGGACATCGACACTTCCTTGAACACTCCTTGGATATATGCATGCACTACTTGAAATGTTTACTCAATTACATATACATCTTTTCATTTAAAACACTCGACAAACGCTTTTTCAACATATAGCCTACATATATACTTCTCCAAACTCACAAAGACACTGATCAGGTTCTTAGACTGTTAATAGTTCAGAACTATGATTTCAAGGGGTCTTTAGGCATCGGGTAAAAAACAAGTGGTTTTCTAATTTATAGACTATATCATAACAGAAACATAAAATGTTATAGGAATTTTAGTTTTCATAATGTGATGGAAAAATACATATTGATCTCATGCAAATTATCAATATGTGATGAAAAACACATATTGACCTCATGCAGATTATTAATTTCAACACACAGACAGCCGTGTCCCCCTACTTATCTTTTACAAATTTGCCGTGTCATGTACTTGTGCCCACACCCATATCCATGCAACATAGACCCTCACAGACACAAAATGTGGAGCTGCTAATTATCCAGGAATATCTATGACAAACCTCCAGAGCCCCAGTTTCTTTGGTTGAACGATACTCTGTAGTTCAGTTTTGTAGTTTCTGGTATCACAATTCTACATTTGTAGGTTCACCATGTTGGCTCCAACGAAAAAAATAAATGGCACTTGGATTTTTCAGATTAACATGAAGATCAAGCTTAATACAACATATCATGAATCTACGGATATGATTGCATCAACAGAAATTTCCTTTGTCACTGGGATATGAGTACAGGTGATGTGTCCAGCCGGCTCATCAGTATGTCCTAGAACCTAATGCATGACATGTTTGTGACTCTGGATTTCATTTTTTATCCTTAATAAATGAAATGTTGATTGCTGCTATTCAGCTGCTTCCTTTCTGCTGCTGCTGCTGCTCTGTTTTTTTTTCTAAAATTTCCCCTTTTTTGTAATTTTCCTAGTTTTAGGGAGGAAGCTATTCATTCATGCTGTTTCTTCTCTTTTACATGTAACATGCTATGGATAATAACAAGCATCAAGCCAACAGCATAAGCATGGTTAAACAATGTGTTTCTCTCTTTGATACAAATTTGTTCCCTTAACAAGGATTTTGAAACCCAACAACCTTCCACGATAAGCTATGTAAAAATGACATTAAACAGTAGCATAACAATGAAGCTTGTTTCACTAATCTAAAAAAATTCACATCCTTTGAACAAGCACTTGTTCAAGCAAACAATTGAATCAACATTTTTTTTAACAAAACAATATAAACTTACATTAACACAAACCAAGAGCTCCCACAACCACAACCCGATATCTCCAACAAAAAGAAGACGAGGGCTCCCAAGGCAAACAACCCAGAGAGCTCCCACAAAAAAACGACTACGTATAACAAAATACCGGACCATCTCCTTCAAACCCCTAACTTAAGCATCAAACTTTAACCCAAATGGGGTCCACACAAAGAGGAAATAACTGAGGAGATGGAGAGGGTGAAGGGAGACGGCAAGTCAGTTGGGACATTCCCCAACACAACATCAGGAAAATCAGATTTGATACTAATAGGCGAGCATTTTCCACCTTGCCTCCGGTGGTCTTCCTTTGCTTTTTCTCCATCCGGAAAGCGTGGGTCCCGCAACATGATCACCAAAGGCATCATTACTCATACTAACACACCAAAAAGCCAGAAAATAACCTCTACTAAAAAAAACAGGCAAGCAAATGTGAAGATGTTGAAGAAAGCAACAAAGAGGTAAAGATTACTTGAAAACCTCTTATCAAAAGAAAGTGAATAGAAAATAGATCCATTGAAATGACGCATATCTTTTTAGGACATTTCATTATGCTAGACAAACCTTAATCCACCCAAGTACAACTCTACATCTTAGGCCACTCTTCATTTATTATGGGTGGACAAGTAAGAACATTACAAGGCAACTTTGAGAGCTTTCATCAAGTTTTATATTATTCCTAAAGCAACTACAATATCATCTGTTGTGTTTTCTCATCATTTCCAACGCAACTATAATACCATTTTGTTGGTGGTTTCCATCCTCCAAATCTATGATTAATTACTTAAAGAAAAGAATTTGAGTAGTTTAGAGGTCCAATTCACCATAAGTTGTAAATTAGGAGGGATCAAAATTATGTTATATTTAGGATTAGTTTATGGGTTTTTTCATAGAAACCACCTTTAAAATAAGGCTATTTTATAGAAACCATATTTAATTTTCAATTTGTACTTGGGCCACCATGAATATAGGATTTGTCTAGCATAATGAAATGACCTAAAAAATATGGATCATTACAATTGATCCATTTTTTATTCATTTTCCTTTGATAAGAGGAGGTCTTCATTTTAAGTAAGTAATTTTTATCTCTTTATTGTTTTCTTCTGCATCTAAGTAATTTTTATCTCTTTATTGTTTTCTTCTGCATCTTCATCTTTGCTCCTGAGTTCTACCATGAAAATTTTAGTAGCGATTATTTTTTGGCTTTTTAGTGTATTAGTATAAGTAATGATATTCTCACTGGTAATGTGGCAACATCTGGGCTTTCCAGATGGAGAAAAAGTAGAGGAAGACCATAGGAGATAAGGTGAAAAATGTGCACCTCTAAGTAACAAGTTTGATTTTACTGATGTTAAGCTAGGGAACGTCTCAACTGACTTGTCGTGCAATGTTTGCCTGGGCCTTGCTTAGTGCAAAGCCAAAGAGGTAGCATCGAGATTGTAGTGTTCGATCAGGACTACACTGGTGCACAACCAGACTTGATGTCGAGATTAGGTGTGTGAAGCTCACCGCTTGTTTGATTTTTGCCTTTTTTGGTAATTGTAGCAATATAGGATCAATTGGATCGATTGGGTTTTGCTCACTATCTCGTTAATTTTTTGCCTGAATGAAACTTGAAATCAATACAGACTAATCCAAATGTCCAAATCATGTGGTATATGTTGAGATACTGATGCTTTCAGTTTTAAGCTCAACACACACAACACTCACTTTCTCTCTCCTCCTTTTCTCCCTCAAGGGACGACTCTGTCCTAGCTATCCTTCATCCAATCCTCTGTCCTTTTGAGTGGCCGGAGCTCCTCCCTGACGAGCACCCTCAACATGAAGGACCTTCATCCCAACCCTCCACCTAATCTCTTTTTCCCCTTCCCAAATCCTTCCGCTTGTTCATAGCAGCCCTTTCCATCTCAAAAAACCCTAAATCCAAATCAACCTTTCCATAAAACCATACCAGATTCCATCAAAACCCACCTCAAATCCACCCCTCCCCTATTCCCCACCCCGTTCAGTCCCCAATTATAGTCCAGGAGGCCAATGATGCTTCATCATCCTCAATTCTCACTATTCCTCAATGCCAATCTTTAAAGCGGTCATCAGCAATACTAGAAACCTCTACAGCCCTATCCAAGTTAAGTCTCTAATTCCCTTATTCCACCTGAACAGAAAACTTATGCTCAAATTGCTCATGGGTCTAGGTTTTGTGCGATCTCATGCTATTCTATTGAATCCTTTGCGAGAATCACTTGTACTAGAGTTAAAATCATTTGTGGCACTCGTGATGGAATGCCATCATTTTCTTTTGTCAATTCGTAACTCCCAATAGTGGACAAACTTTTCTCGAATGCATTAGTGATGAGATTCTATAGTGGTTGTCCCTCCCTTGAAGCTAGTCAAGAAGAGATCAGGTCTTGAGGTGTTGAGCACCCTTTCACAATTGACCCCATAAATAATAGGGCATTTTTTACGTGTTTTCAAGATAATAATGACCTGTTGAAGGTCCTTACACGCCCCCACCACTTCGATCAGAACTTCCTCCTACAAAATTTTCAAATGGAGTAAGTTATGTTACCTAAAGGAGAATTTTTGACATGTCCCAGTGTGCGTATCTCTGCCTCGATTGCCTCTTTAATGCTTTATTCATGAGTTCTTGGAAATGGTGGCAAAAAAACTAGTCGTTTTTTAATCTTTTATAAGCCATCTGTTATTCTTGCTCTACTTAAATGTGTTAACATTGATTTAAGGAAGCCCACTCCTACGAGCATATGGGTTGATCTGTTTGATGGTTGTTGCTAATCCATATTGTATGATAGATTGCCTAAATTCTGCTATGAGTGTCATTTGCAAGGTCATAACGTCTCGGAATGCCCAAGGAAAGATGTAGTGATGCCTACAGCCTTTGCTGAAGCACAATCACGCACTCTGCATCTCCGCTCACTAATTGTTTGACAGAAGGCCACAGCAACCCCCCCCCAAATCAGTGAATAAAGTACCTCCCCCTTAGCAAGGTCATCTCCCCATCATCGTCCACCTCCTTTGGGTAACCGCCCTCGT